CCTCTAGAAGTATCCTGTCCCACTCTCCCACCCCACGGTTTGAACTTCACTATGTGACTCGCTTTGGCCAATGGGATGTTGGAAGGCATGACCCACGCAAAGCCCTGAAATGTGTCTGCGTGACTGGGATTGCTCCCTGTGCTTGTGCTGTCAGCAGGAGTGAAAACACAGGCCACAGCTCATAGAAGTGGAATTTCAGATGAACAATGAATACATGGAAAGATGCTACTAAAAGACTTATTTGTTGTTTATTTGAAATAAAAATTTAACTGAGTTACCTGTATTTTTATTTGCTAAATTTGGCAACTCTCGTTTGGAAGAAAGTCCAAAACCAACCCATAGCCCGAAGGCAAGGCCAGTTTAAACAGCCAGAACTGAACTGACCTGCAGACGCAGGGCCAAGAAAGAAATACTTGTTATTGTATATTATGAGAGTTTGTGGTTGCTTGTTATGCAGCAACAGCTGACTAATTAAACTGTGGTGGCAATGAGAAACTAGCTTAATACATCCACCAGTGTGCAAAGATTAAGCAGATAGTGTTCTATAAAGAAAATAAAAATAAAGGATTGTCCAAGTGTTCGTGCTAGGGTTGGCTTTATTTTAATAAACTTCCTGTAGGGCACAGGTTAATAAATCTCTGGGTTTATAGATAAAAGTAAGCTTTTATGAATAATACAAAGCGAAGTACTATCAGGCTATATTGAAGGGGAATCTCATTCATTTTTGTAAGCCTATTTGTTAAAAAGCACAGGTTTAGGGGTTGGACATGCTTAGGTTTAATCCAGACATTGTTATTTAAGAGCTGTGTAACCTTGGGCAAGTTATTAACATTTGTAAGAGTCAGATTCTTCACCTATAAAATGGAGGTAAGAATATCTAATTCAATTGAATGTTATGGTGATTAATAAGATAGGTAAAGATACCTATTGCAGTCCCTGGAACATCCCAAATACTCCCTACATCATAACTTAAAGTTGCTGGGAAGAAAAGTGGAAGCTGGTACCCAATACCAGTGAACAAAAGAGTACAGTGTTATAAACTGCTCTTAGAGGGAAATGGTGTAAGCTTCTAGTAAGAGCCTAGTTAGCAAAGAAAATTCCTTGTAAATCTATGATATAAGATATTAGTTCAAAGGACTGTTGAGGTCAAATACATCCACAAAATGTTGGTCATAAATAAAAAGGCTATCTGTAAACAAATCAGAAAATATTATCCTTATACCAGCTTATAATATGACTTTGCCTAAAATATTGAATGTAATTCTAGCCACATTATCTCAGAGAATTATTTAGTCTCTACAGTGAAAAAATAAATAAACTAATGTTATAAAAGAAGCCAAGAGAAAATCTTGGCATGAGGAATATAGAGAAAGAATTCGGTGTAATTCATATCTATGATATCTTCCATGATGTTGCTAAAGCAAAAATAGAACCAATTCCCCCATGACAACAACAAAAAGCCCCCCCTTGAAGCAGAGGAGGTCATTTTAGGACAAATGACTATTTAAATGCATTTGATTGGTGGTTTGCAAGCTCTTGGCCCTCCCGTTTTCGTCTAGTGCTCACAGAGAGTAAGTGGCATTGACTGGACAGATTTCTTTATTTTTTTATTCAAATCAAAAGAAAAGTGTTGATCTACTTCACTAGTAAGAAGTAAATTTATAGGACTCATCATAAAGGTAAGATATAGGGTGACGGTACAAATAAATAACAATAGAAGAAATTAGACAAGTGCATGTCTCTCTCACAGGGCCGAGATGAGCTCCCAAGGGCAACCAGGCTGCACGTTGAGACCGACACCCAGAAAAGAAGCACTCCCCCCCTTAGTCCGGCCCTGGTGATCCTCAGGGAGAAGCCGCTGTGCTCAAGCACAGGTCCGGCCCGGCACAGAAGCCCTGGGGCCCTTTCAGGTGATCTGTCCTGGGTGAAACATTTCCCCAATGCTCTTCCCTTATCACTTTCAGGGGCGCTACTTACTTGAAGGCCAGTCTCTCTTCCATCTGAAGACTTGGATCTACTGAGCCTGGTCAACAGAAATCTCGTGGAGGCTGCTTACTGAGGAATGACGAGACCTGGACCCCGGGCCTCACCGTGCGACCATGGTGAACACACATGGCCCCTCCTGTAGAGGGAGGGAACAGGCCTACATATCCTCTACAGTCCCTTCCTGGATTCCACACACGCAATGACTAATCCCAAATAAATTCCAGAGACAAAAACTGCAACAGATCCTCGATGAGGGTTTTACAATCAAGGCAGATGTTGATTTTGGCTGGAAGGCTGAAGACAGCATTCCAGGTGAATGTGGGGACATTACAATCAAGGCAGGACAGCCCAGGGCGGGGGGAGTAAGTCAGGGGGTGGGGATCCAGAGTGGCTTGTGGGCTCTCCTCATGTGAAAACCCACAGACCTGCCTTTCAGTGAGTCGTGGAAGGAGATACCTGGGAAGCAAGTGACGTTGGTCTGCTATTAACCTGTCACTGTCACGTGCATGCCTGTAATGAGGCAAGTCGCTGTTGGGGTGGTAATTATGAGAGTCCTTGAAGTCCATGAATAAAATACTTCAGGACCACAGGGCAGAGTGATTAGGTACCATACCAGTTTAAACACATTCTTTTCTCTCTGATGAATGAGAAATATTTAAAGGCAAATTCATCGAAATCCAATCCAATGTCTAGATTTGATAGAAATAAACAATACAAAATAAGGGAAAACATTTGTGGTGTTTGTGCATGTATATGTATGAGGTGAGGGATTTCCAAAAACACCATTAGTCAACCCTAAATCCTCACTTAATTGGCCAAGAAGTTAACAAGGCCCTGTGCCGTGGGGTCATCAGCACCAGGCCAGGGTATATAAAGGACCCCGATGGAGAGGAAGACATTCACACCTGAGAACACCCACTCCTCTCACCAGTCCAGCCATCCCAGACCCAGACACCACCATGACCGGCTCCTGCTGTGGCTCCACCTGCTCAAGCTGTGGGGGAGGCTGCTGCCAGCCCTGCTGCTGCCAGCCCTGCTGCTGCCGCGACCCCTGCTGCTGCCGCCCCTGCTGCTGCCAGACCACCGTGTGCCGCCCTGTGACCTGTGTGCCCCGCTGCACGCGCCCCATCTGTGAGCCCTGCCGCCGCCCCATCTGCTGTGACCCCTGTGGCCTGCAGCAGGGCTGCTGCCGCCCCATCGCCTGCTGCCCCACATCCTGCACGGCCATTGTCTGCCGCCCCTGCTGCTGGGCCTCCACCTGCTGCCAGCCCATCTGTGTGCAGGCCCCCTGCTGCCGGCCCCCCTGCTGCCAGCCTGCCCCCTGCCGCAGCACCTGCAGGACCTACCCCTGCTGCTGCTGCTGAAACTTCATGGTCCCCACAGATCAATACACTGGAGCCTAAGCACCTATTCTGCATTTTAATCAAGTTGAAAGAAAAACAGATTTTTTCCATAAAGTGACAATCATTATTTTTATATCTTACCATTTGGACACACAGCAGATCTCCATCTCCACTCTCAGCCAAATTCCCAAGTGTCCCCATCAGCGGAAGTCACCATGGACTGCAAGCTCACCTTTAAAAGTCCCTGGAGTGGACTTGGAAAACCCACCCTGAACTCTGGAGGCTGCTCAAAGCCTCCCAATCATCGTTGGCAATGTGCTGCTCACTGTTCTCAATAAACTAATTTTCCCTGTGAAGCTCCCTGCCACCGGATTCATTTATTAGCGCAGATACGTTAGTGTACAAGACGAGCAGACGCTGAGCAGGAGGGAGGGTGAGGAGGGGAAGGAAGGAGACGGAGCAGCTGAGGAAGGCAGGAGAGAGAGAGAGAGGTGCTGGGAACCCAGGGTGAGTCCTGAGCAGGGGAACGGGGCGGCCAGGCAGTGCTCAGGCTGCCCACGTGGGTAGGACGTCTATGCACATCGGGTCCCCCGTGGCCTGTCCTTTGCCCACATCTCCAGGTTCATGTCTCAACACTCCCCACTAAGTTTCACTAAAGCAACACGAAACTTCTCGCAGTAACGGACACATGCCCTGCAGTTCCATTTGTCTTTGCTTTTACTGTGTTCTTTCATTTTTCTGGAATGTCCTTTCACCTGCCCCTTCCCTTCACCTTCTTCCCTTACCTAAGCCCAAGTCATTTCCAAGTTCAACTCATGTTCTCCAGTCGTCCTGTCCTAACCCCTGGGCCACACACACACACACGCACACACAGGCTGGGCTAGGTACCCTAACATAAGCCAACAGCACCCTGTGAGCCTGTGCTTCTCTCCCCATCAGACACTGCATGGAGATGACCTATTTCTCTCCCTCCAAGGACAAACAACAGTTTCTTCATTCTGGCTCCCAGTACTGAGCTCAATGCTTAGAAAAGAGTTGGCAATTAATTTCTACGTGTTGAATCGAGCTAAATTAGAAGGGAATTGTCTTTATTATGAGAATTCTAAAGGGTAGATATATACTTAAAGCTAAAACTTCAGCATCCATATAACTAAACTTTCCTCACCCTCAGGTTTCCTCACCTGCAAAACGGGAACATTAACAGTCGTCAGTGTAAATTGCTGGGAAAGTTAGATGACTCTTAGGTATGTAAACTGCCTGGCACACGCTAAGCACCCAGTACCATTCATTTATATTCCCTGTCGCCCACTGGAGCATCAGATGGGCTCTAAAGGTGTGCTATTTATTACATTTCATATCACTGACAGTGGGAAAAGATTCAGGAAAAGCTTTTAAATTTCCAGGATAGTCCACATCCACTGGCAGAAACAAGTTTCCTAATAGATATAACAAAAAAGGCTAAAACTTCATCATCAGATTGAGACTGTCTTGCAATGAAAGAGCTCTTTAAAAGTTGACCTACAGTCCACAGGAAAGAGCCCCAGATTGCAGGCTTTATGAGTAGGGGTTTAGCATCAGGGAAAGTAATGCATCTGACAGACTTCTCCCCTCACCCTAAACCACCCAAGGAATTAAACAATTCAAAGCAATGAGACTCCAAAAGGAAACCTGGCTTAGTCTTCCCTGGATTTAGGCAGATTAATACCGAAACCGCTTAGAAGAAATACTTCTTTTTTAAATTCCAGAAACAAATCCCACCAGTTCCCTGATCATCTAGAGTTTTCTGTCTTTTCCAACTAAAATATTTTCTCTTCTCAATTAATGATATTCCTCTCTTCTTTCACGTTTGTGGGTTTTATAATAAACCTGGCTAACGAAGACTCTTAGCATCCACAGGTGAGGAAACGGGGGCTGGCAGGGTGTAAGTTCCAGCTCTAAGTCACACAATTGCTAGCTGGTGGAGGAGGGATCTGAATCCTTCCTTGTCTTCCCCATTCTCCTCCCAGCCCTTCCCATTAATCTTCCCCATCCCCATTTCTAACTCTGATGATTGGAGGATATTTTACTGAAGATCATTTTGGAGAACAAGGAATGCATATTCTGTTTTCAGAACTTTAAACATTCCCTAACATCCAGTGGCCCCCAAACTAGTTCCTACTGAAACACAGCTTATGAAGCTACTAAGACGAGGGCATGGTTCCGCATCGCAAAAAGTCATCAGCACTCCATCCTTCATCGATCCAACCACAAAAATCCTGCGATTGATCACCACCGTCGTTAACACTTGCTTGCTCCCACTCTGGTAATTATGCTTTTGCAGAACCTGTCATTGGAATGATATGGCACAAAATAGCCACGTGATGAAGCCACATCTCTTGTCCCACAAGCTTACGCCCATTAACGCGCTACAGCCAAGGAAGCCACACAGCTTAGGACACCACCAGACGGAGAGAAAAGGTTTCTGCAGGATTTTGCGAAATCGTGGATTGAGGTGAAATTACATGAAATGATGTTTTGCTCGGCCTGAAGCACAACAGGGCTTTGTGCAAAAGGATTAACATCAGGACCGACCTGTGACAAGGACTTGAGAGCCCTCTTCCTTCGGATACTGTACAACTAAGATAACTGGGAATGTCGTGTCTGAAGATCTCTTACCTGAAGCTCTGCCTCTGGGCTGGATACGGAGGCTGCTTCTCTGTGTTAAGGCGACTAAGACCCTGGCAAGGCAGCAGTGGGTGGGATATTCCCTCCTTGCAGAGGTGACTTCAGACAGCAAAGTTTCTGACAGTCTGTAATTTTAAAACACAAGATTTCTTAGTACTATGTCTTTTTTGTTAGTTAAAAAAAAAAGCAGTGAATAAAATAACAGATATATCCCCATTCCCAATATTTGGATCTCTGTATATATTCTAAGCCAAATAACAAAATGCTAAGCCACAAATCAAGCAAGTTTTTATTTTATTCCACTGGATGGGATAGAATTTTTGATAACTACTAGTACATGTCCACTACTTTGAAGTGGCTCAGGGTTTGGAAAAGACTAGGAGTCAACCACCAGTGTTTATACCCGAAAGACCTGCGGTATTGCTAAAATTTTGCTACTCTTTTGTCTGTGTGACTCTAAGAAATCATTTCACAGATCTGGCCTTCCAAAAACTGTGATGGACTACGATGGTCCACAAAGTCAAAGGCCTTCAAAGACTGGGACTCTGGTGGACCGAAGAGTGTATTAAAAAATTATTTTACCAAACAAAACATACTTTGTAGACAGATTCGGTCTGACAGCCATCAGCAACCCTTGGACCATGTTATCTTTAACCTACCTTCCAACTATAAATTTATTTTCTATACCCCCATTTTTCTTAGCTGTAGCTAAAACAGACAAAGCTATCTTATCAGTCATCAGGCGACTGAATTCCCCATGCCTTTTTCAGAAACCCAACTTAGTTCTTCGTAAGGAACCAAAACCCTCAGCCAACAAACCTATGCATCTATTACAGCAATATAATTGATTCCTTTATAAATATTTTCAATATATTTTGAAGAACTCGAAACACGTGCCTATGTCACACCTAGAAGGCAAGAAATACCTCAATTTAAATTTTATTTCTAAGACCATACTCAGGTACAGTGTCAATAAAATCCACATTTAGTCTGGCCTTATTGTCCCATGGAAAATTCTTCCCCTTCAATTGCTTTATCTGCCTTTGTCCTGCCTTCCTAAAATGTGTGATTGTATGATCAGAAACTTCTTAGAACCTATTTTTCTTTCCTTTCCCTCTCCACCCCCCACATAGTACGGCACTGTTTACATAGCAAGTGTCTCCCAGTCACTATGAGTAACAGGCCAACTCTAATGGCCCGTAACAACATCACTCTGTGGTTTGGTGGTTGTTTCCATATAAACGAGGAGACGAAATGGGTTGTTTTACAGAAGCACTGCACCATTCTTTGCATAGCAGAAGTGGTGCACATCTCCTTTTATGAGCCATTGTAGGTTTTTTGTGGCTTTTTAAAAAGAAATTATTGCTTCATTACAAGAAATCAGGCCTGTGACCATTATAGTCTCACACTCAGTCATGGCTGGTGAATGAAAGGATTCTTCAACTTATCACATGGTCTGGGAAAACTGGCTATTCAATGAGTAATTTTTCTGAAGATATAAATCATCAAGTATTCATTTCAAGGGGAAAAGCAGGGAGAAAGGAAAGCATCCTTCAGTGATGTTGGAAGTGCTGCCTCAGCAACTAAATTCACCAATCTTGAGTTCTCATTTCAATGGTCAACCACAGCTTTAGGAAATGACCTTGTGTCCTGGGGGTTATAGGATCCTGGCCAGAGTATATAAAAGGCCTTGATGGAGAGGAAGACATTCACACCTGAGAACACCCACTCCTCTCACCAGTCCAGCCATCCCAGACCCAGACACCACCATGACCGGCTCCTGCTGTGGCTCCACCTGCTCAAGCTGTGGGGGAGGCTGCTGCCAGCCCTGCTGCTGCCAGCCCTGCTGCTGCCGCGACCCCTGCTGCTGCCGCCCCTGCTGCTGCCAGACCACCGTGTGCCGCCCTGTGACCTGTGTGCCCCGCTGCACGCGCCCCATCTGTGAGCCCTGCCGCCGCCCCATCTGCTGTGACCCCTGTGGCCTGCAGCAGGGCTGCTGCCGCCCCATCGCCTGCTGCCCCACATCCTGCACGGCCATTGTCTGCCGCCCCTGCTGCTGGGCCTCCACCTGCTGCCAGCCCATCTGTGTGCAGGCCCCCTGCTGCCGGCCCCCCTGCTGCCAGCCTGCCCCCTGCCGCAGCACCTGCAG